CCAGGCGGGTCTCGAACCCACGGGCTCAGGCCATCCACTCACCTCAGCCTCCCAAAGCGCGGGATTACAGGCTGAGCCACCGAGCCCGGCTGTTCATCAGTTTTAGACTCCCAGTTTTAGATAGTTTACAACACTTAGCAAATGCTTAATACATATTTGGGTTTTTTTGAGCTGGAGTCTCACTCTTGTTGCCCAGGCTGGAGTGAATGCCACGGCCACCGCAGCCTCGACCTGCTGGGCGCCAGCGATCCTTCTGCCTCAGCCTTCCAAGTAGCTGGAACTACAGGCACATGCCACCATGTCCGGTTAGTTTTTTGTGATTTATTGTAGAGATGAGGTATCACCAAGTTGCCCAGGCTGGTCTTGAACCCCTGGGCATGGTGAGTGCACATGTTAGCTCAGTGATATATGGAGCATTTACAATGCACCAGAGACTCTGAAAATCCCCTCTCTACTTCCCCTCAGAACCACCCATTTCACAGGAGAGAAAACTGGGGCTGATGGTGATGCTCTTCTCTCAGATCACACAGGAAATAAGGAGGTCTACACCTGCTGTGGACCCAGACCCAGGCTTGGGTTCTTTGCTATCCAAGGACCATCTTTAAAATGTGGCCTGGATGGGAGTCAGGGAACCTCTCCCTGAAGTCTGAGCACCTTGATATCTAGCTGTTTGACCACAGGGATAATATCAACCTCTCTGGCACTTGGTTTTTTTCAATCTATTCATCTTGGACCATCCTGGGCTGCACCCTGACACACCCCAGCCCTCCTGTGCCCTGGGAAGGGTCCTAACCGGGTCTTGGTAGAAATTTCACTCTGCTTGATGCGGTCAATGACTTCTCGGGCTTTTTCCCCCAGGGTTTGTCCAAGGTCCTTCAGCTTATCCAAGGCGCTGGAGCCGTCTGGGGCCCCCTGGGCTGGGACTGGGCCTGCCAGGAAGATGGGAGGGGTGCGAAAATGTGTTACCGGGAGTCTCAGGATGGGATTCCGGGGAAGGAAATGGGTATCCTTGAATGTGATTCTTGGGGGTCATATTGTCAGAATGGAGAGAGGCTTCTGTTGTCACTGGACGGGGCTGTTGGAAATTACCTTACTCAGCACTGCCTCCCCCGCCCCGCCCCTTTCAAAACTGTAGAAGCAGGACAGCCAATCCCAGCGGTGGGGGAGCCCATACGTCACCAGTCGCTAGGGCCCCTCGGGCAGATTTGCCGCCTACTGAACTGACCTAGTTTAGAGAATCCTGAAACCCATGTATCCACGACAGGGGACCCACGCCTCGGAAGGGGCCGCAGAGCTCTCAAGGGTCCTCTACAGTGGGACCCCAGGCCTGTGGCCTGCGTCACCCTCCCAAATCTCAAGGTCCCCAATTTCCTAGCCCACTTTTACCTTCCAGGACCATCGACAGAACCACCACCAGGACCGGGAGCGACAGGAAGAGCCTCATGGCCGGACCGGAGGGGCACTCTGCAGAGGCAGGGGCGGGGGCGATCAGTGGCGGCCCTCCTCCCTCCCTTCCACCGCCCCTCCACCCGCTTTCTCGGGCGCTCTTGCAGGGGGCTTGGGGAGGGGCGGCGGTCATCCCTCCCAAGGACTCAGCACCAACCTGGATCCTTGCAGCCAGGCAGCTCGGGTGGGAGGTCCTGGCCCTGCCGGGACCTTTATCAGGCTGGGAGGGGGCGGGGCAGGTCAATCTCCCTCCTCCTGAGCCTTCCCCTGGCTGCCTGCCTCCCCGGGCCTACACACATTTTCCGCCCCTGCCCCATGCCTGTGGGGGTTGCGGGGTCAGCTGGGGCCCAGTCACGTCCCTAGGCCCAAAGTCTTTTGCTGTCAGCAGTTCATCTCCAAGTCTCCCTGACTTTGAGGGCTCCTCAGCCTGCCACAGCCCTTCTCGACAGTCATTGCGCTCTCACCCAGGCCGTCTCCCAGCAGAGGTCTCTCAGAACCTGTGGGTCTTATCTCCTGAGAGGGCCATCTCTTCCCTCAGCCCTCCCCTTCTTAGCCAGCCTCCTCAGCTCGCTCCAACAACTCTTCCTTCATGACTCTGGGGTCTCTCTCAGTTTACCCCACACTTCTCCTACCAAACCCACTTTCCTTTTTTTGAAACTGGGTCTCACTCTGTTGCCCAGCCTGGAGCGCAATGGCACGATCACGGCTCACTGCCGCCTCGACCTTCCGGGCTCAAGCAATCCTCCTGCCTCAGTCTCCTGAACAGCTGGGACTACAGGTGTGCGCCACTATGCCCTGCTAATTTTTAAATTTTTTTGTAGAGACACGATCTTCCTATGTGGTCCAGGCTGATCTCAAACTCCTGAGCTCAAGGGATCCTCCCGCCTCAGCCTCCCAGAATGCTGGGATTACAGGTGTGAGCCACCATGCCTGGCTCCTGCCCAGGCGGGTCTCGAACCCGCGGGCTCAGGCAATCCACTCACCTCAGCCTCCCAAGGTGCAGGATTACAGGCTGAGCCACTGAGCCCGACTGGGCTTCCATTTTCTAGATGGGGAAGCTGAGGCCCAGCCAAGAGCATCCAATAGCTTGATGAGAGGCTGAAGGGGAGCTCTTTGTCCCCTTGCCACCTACAATCTTTCAGACCAGCCCTTGAAGCTGCCCAGACCTCACTGATGCTCTCTGGCCTCTTAACTTTATAGTCTTCAATCTCCCTTTTTTGAAAGGGCAGGGGTCTTCTCAGCCTGTCTAAGCTTCAAAACCTCAGCTTCGAAGCTCTCAGCGTGTGCCCGGCCATTCCTTCCACCAGACTTCCTCCCACCCCAGGTCCCTGGCTACCTCACCCAACAGTCAGGCTGCTCTTATTCATCCTCCCAGGCCCCTCCTGGCGCCAAGCCCACCCCCCAACTCTCTCCTCTCCCCTCCCCACATCCGTTCCCTGGGGCTGGAGTCCAATGCCTCCCCCCTCCCCCTCCCACCCCTGCCGGCTGCCTCTGACCGCCAGTGATCCCTGGCAGCTAGCGGGCCGGGTGGCCCAGCCTGGCCTCAGACTCTAGGTTGGCTGGCCTTGTGCCCCCACTACCACGTGTCAGCCTGAGGGCAAGGGGGATGGTTGTGAAAGGGACCGCACAGACAGGACCCTGACAGAATTGCGACATCCCTCTGACAAACTCAGAGCTTCCAGTCCCAGTGGGAGGGGGCGGCTACTTCCCCAACTCAACCCAGTAACTCCCCAGACATCATCTCAGATGTCTGCACAGAAAAGCTCAAAGCACCCCTGCCATTCCAGTCTCATCCCTCAGCTACATGGGCTTCCATTTTCTTTCTTTCTTTTTTTTTTTTTTTGAGTTGGAATCTCACTCCGTCGTCCAGGCTGGAGTGCAGCGGCCGCTCCCGGCCACCGCAGCCTCAACCCGCTGGGCTCCGGCGATCCTTCCGCCTCAGCCTTCCGAGTAGCCAGAATTACAGGCATGTGCTACCATGCCAGGCTGATTTTTTTTTTTATTTATTGTAGAGATGAGGTCTCGCCAAGTTGCCCAGGCAGGTCTCGAACCCACAGGCTCAGGCAATCCACTCACCTCAGCCTCCCAAGGCGTGGGATTACAGGCTGAGCCACTGAGCCTGGCTGGGCTTCCATTTTCTAGATGGGGAAACTGAGGCCCAGCCAAGAGCATCCAACAGCTTGAAGAGGGGCTGAAGGGGGGCCCTTCCTAGACTCCAGGCTGCCTCTTTGAATCCCTGCTGGGGCCAGGCCCTGCCTCACAGTTATCTCCTGCCAGCCTTTTTTCTGGAACCTTCTTCTGCAGCCCTTGTCCCAGCTCTAGGTCTGACCAGGACGGCGGTGAGGAAGGGCACCCTCTCTGCTTGGAAGTCTTCATGTGTGAGATTCAGCTTTTCTTTCCCTTTTTTTTTTTTTTTTTTTTTTTT